CGCCTGCCCGCACGTGTCCGCCGTGACGTCACCGCACTGGCACCGCGCACACAAGTGCCATAACACTCGCTTCCCCACGCTACATCTACGTATCTTCACCGGATTTTCGGCGATTTTGCTGTATTATCTTGACACCCTTACCGCGTTACAACGGGTAAAGGGAAGAAGAAAGAAGATACGAGTAAGAGCGACCCTGAAAAGCCAGACTCCAGCCTTGACGAGTCTGCAGGGGCCAGTGCCAGCACCCCACTTCCCACAGATGTTGCTACATTGCTACAGTGGATAATTCAGAGGGATGACAAGAGGGAAGACGCCCGCCGGAAGGAAGAGGATGCACGCAGGAACGAGGAGTCCGCTCGTTTTCAGGAGCTGATCCTTCGCCTCACCCCCCAGCAGCCCGCAGCTTCACCTGCGAGTTCGCCAGTGAGCAGTTCTGCCGCGCCCACTGCTTCTCACACTCCACCGACCCCGAGGGCAACAATACAGCCTCCGAAAGCACTAACAGCAGACGCGAGTCCCCAACAATTTCGCGAATGGAAGCGCGAATGGTCCGATTATGCTGTCATGGTGGATCTTGTCAGCCTGCCATTATCAAAGCAGCATATACAGCTACGCATGTGCCTTACAGCTGAGATACGACGGGTGCTGGAGCACAAGTTGGACGTGCCCGCAGACCCATCATGCTCAGTGGACGATGTCTTGGCAAAGCTCGAAACGCATGTCAAAAATGCAAGTAATGAGGCGCTACGACGGAAGGCCTTCTCCGAGTGCAAGCAAGCAGACGGCGAGAGCTTCGATGACTTTTGGATACGCCTGAAAATCTTGTCACGGGAGATAGACCTCTGCAAGGCACAGGACCAAGCATGCTGTGAGCAGTGGAAGAAACACGGCATATTAATGGGTATACGAGATGAAGAACTTACCCAGAAGCTCATTGAGACCGTTGCAGGATGTTTTGGAGAAATGCAGGTCTCATGAATCGTCAAAGACTGCATCATCTGCTTTGAAGGACACAGTTTCTTCACGTGCTGTTTCTCAATATAAAAGAGAGAAAAGGCCGCCCTGAAGCAGAAGTCCAAGATGAGGCCTGGCTCATGTGTGTATATGTGTAACATATTAGTGAACAAACTGTGTATGGACCAATGATATGGCAACACTGTTATTATTGTAGACAGAAGTCAGTCGAGGGTGGCGTCGGACTTCATCTCTAACAGGCGTTGTTTGGTCTCCTCATTTTGAACACCTATCAATATGGCATGCTTGATTTGGGTCTCGATACAAGCATTGCTATGTCCTTTACAGAGATCCACATCGTTTGCAGCTTGCTTTAAGCGTACATAAAGATCTGTAAATTTCTCATTGTGGGCCTGCCTGCACTGGGAAAATGTGAGACGTCGTAAAGCCTCATTCTTTTGGTCTCGGACGAAGTTCTGGATTCGCTGGAGGACATCCAGGAGGGAGATGTGGGCAGTGATAGTGAAGTGAGTTGTGATACAATGTGAGTTGTGAGTGCCATGTTGTGATGCCAATGCATATGGACTGTAATGCCAGTATTATCGTACGCATATTGTGGTAATTATGTTATTATATTATATACACTACCTTTTGTGTGATATGTTATACCAAGTGAAATATAGAAGTTTATGAATGAGGAAAACACTCTACCGTGTTGATACTATGGTAGAAAAACCCACAATGTAAAAACTAGATTTATTGAAAATGAAAGTGAGACTACAGTTTCGGAATCCACCTGGATTCCATCCTCAGGTCGCTTGGTGCTGTATGGACCTCGAGTGGTTGTCCCTGTTTCTTTACGTCGTAGCACCCTAGCTCGCCTGCATGACAGTCACTGTGGGTTTTTCTACCATAGAAGTTTATGTTTAGTTTATATTACTGTGTAGCATATCACTTATGTGAAAGAATGATATTCTCTGTTCGATTTATAGAGTACAACATTTTATTTTGTCTCTGTAGTCACACGTCTGGCAGTACACAGAGAGACGGAGCCTGGCGTGTGGGGCAGAGGAACATGAAGAGTTCCGTATTAATTTTGTCAGACCTGATTTCAAATGAACCTACTTTAGATTTCATCGGTGTTTTCTTCGCCCTCAAGTATCACAGAAGGACACCAAGCAAACAAAGAAGACGAACATGCCCCTTGGACTGTGGGTAATGGGGGCTTGACATAGCATGACGTACTCCCCATCGCTGAAGGAAAGTTGGAAATTCCCGGCTGGAGAACTGGGGTCCGCCGTCAGTGCGTAGGCGAACTGGCACACCCAGATCACGGAACAAATGCCGGAAGAATCTGATTGTCGAAGTACTTGTTGCACTAGTTCCACATGGGATGACGACTGGCCATCCGGATAGTCTGTCAGCATACACCAAGAAGTGTTTTCCAGCAACACTGAAAAAGTCTGCCGACACAGACATAAATGGTCTTGTGGGTTTGTCATCCAACATCAATGGCTCCTGTTGCTGACTAGGCTGTAGGCGCTGGCATGGCTCACAGGCACGGACAGTGTTTACAATGTCTGCATTAATGCCTGGCCAAAAGACTGTCTGCTGTGCACGACGCTTTGTTGCTTCCACGCCACAGTGACTGTCATGCAGGCGAGCTAGGGTGCTACGACGTAAAGAAACAGGGACAACCACTCGAGGTCCATACAGCACCAAGGCACCATCGTTGTACAATTCGTTGCGAATCTTCCAGTACGGACGCAAGGCACTTGGTAGGTTGTAGCGGTCTTTGGGGAACCCTGACTTTACATGGTGAAGCAGCTCCTCCTAAGAAGCATCCTTAGAGGCAGCTGTACGCAATTCTTCCAAGAAGAGATCCTCTTGCTCGTCTATGGCTTCTGATGCTTTAGTAGACTGAACAGCATGCAGAGCTACAATCTTGACAGAGGTGTCCATTTCAGCATCGAAGGCACCATCTTCCACTGTTGGGCGACTCACAGGTGACCGGGAAAGGGCATCAGGGATGCACAACTCCTTACCTGCACGCCACATTGCGGTATAAATGTAGGGTGCAACCTTGTCTTTCATGCGCTGGAGGCGAGGGTTTTCAATTGCATCCAGGGAATAATGGTTCAAAATTGGAACCAATGGACGGTGATCTGTCATCACACTGAAGTGCTGAAGTCCACGAAGATAGAACTTGCACTTACGGATGGCCCAAACGACAGCATGCATATACACTATCATTTGTGTGGTATGTTACACCATGTGAAATATAGAAGTTTATGTTTAGTTTATATTGTTGTGTAGCATATCACTTATATGAAAGAATGATATTCTCTGTTTGATTTATAGAGTACAACATATTATTTTGTCTCTGTAGTCACACGTCTGGCAGTACACAGAGAGACGGAGCCTGGCGTGTGGGGCAGAGGAACATGAAGAGTTCCGCATTAATTTTGTCAGACCTGATTTCAAATGAACCTACTTTAGATTTCATCGGTGTTTTCTTCGCCCTCAAGTATCACAGAAGGACACCAGGCAAACAAAGACGAACATACATCATTAAATTATAATAATCTTTATTAGGAGGGACTGATCAACACAAGGTATTAATAACGTTAAACGCAACTCTTATTTACTTTGCTATTTGCTATTTTCTTTTTCTTATCATCATATCTACTGAAACTCTCTCTCTCTCTCTCTCTCTCTCTCTCTCTCTCTCTCTCTCTCTCTCTCTCTCTCTCTCTCTCTCTCTCTCTCTCTCTCTCCTCTCTCATCTTCCTCTTCCTCTTCCTCGTCCTCTTCCCCTTTTCCTCTTCTTCTTCTTCTTCTCCTTCTACTTCTTCTCCTTCTTATTCTTATTCTTATTCTTATTCCTTCTCCTCCTCCTCTTCTTCTTCTTCTTCTTCTTCTTCCTCTTCTTCCTTCTCCTCCTCCTCTTTTTCTTCTTCTTCTTCTTCTTCTTCCCCTTCTTCTTCTTCCTTCTCCTCCTCCTCTTCTTCTCCTCCTCCTTCTTTTCCTCCTTCTTCTTTTTCCTTTTTTCAATACTTCTCTAGAGAAATTCCTTTCCTCTTACACCTTACACACTTTTATTTCTATCTTTAATTATTCCATCGTGTGTTTATTCATTTATTCACTTATCATTTATTCGTCTATTTTTTCAATTTATTTGTTCAGTATTTAAGTTCATTTGTAGTCATAATTATCCTATAATGAGTATCTTGGCCTCTAACAGATAATATTTGGTAATTAAATACTCATTAGGGGATACAGTAATTATGATAATGACTATGATTAAGATTGTGGATTATAGTGATTATGGTGACTGTGATGATAATGTTATGAGAATAGTATAATCAAGATAA